CTTTTAGGTGAATACAGTATAACATGTTGGCAGAATGTCACATAAGCTTTAGCTTTTGAAATTAGCATCAATCATTTCTAAAACTCCTTTTGGTAGTTCTAGCACAACCAGCTTACTTTGCAAATTAGGAAACTGCAATTTCTGGAAGTATCAAAAATTGTCTCAAGCTTATCAAGGAGTAATGAGAAGGCTAAGGATAGAACCCAAGTTCCTTACTCACTTCCAAATGATTAATTTCATCCACTTTGTAAAATACATCAGATAAAATACTTTAAAATTTGCAAAATTATTGCTCTGCAGTGTTTAAAATGATTTTGAGGTTAGAAAATTATTGTATATATTTTCTTTATAAGCCAATAGGGTTATAAAGTATAAGTATGCTTTTACAACACATTTTCTAAATTGTAACATTTTTAACAATCTAAACTGTAGTGTTCATTAAGTCTAATTTATGTCACTTGAAATGTGTTCAATCGGCAATAAACCTTTTCAAGAAATAGAAACAACAATCCTTTCCCACTAATGTATCATTAACTTAGTTATCTGTATCTTTAAGGCAAATACATTTTTTTCTTGAAAAAGTTCCACTGAAGAAGGAGGTGCAGTCAGTAGTGTGTATAGTCTGAATAAAATAAGATATATTGCCTTTTAAATCTCCAAATCTGAAATTTGAGGGATAGCAGAATGTTCTTTTCTAAATGACATATTTTGTAGGATGTCCCGTACCCTAGCATGCCTGGTCCAGTTCCATTTTATACATACTGTCCAAGCTTAATATTTAAAAATCCTCCTTGAGGCAGGAGGATCATTACGAGTTCGAGACCAGCCTGGGCTACATAGTGAGTTCCAGGTCAGTCTCAACTACGTAGTGAGACCTTGTCTCAAAAAAAATCCTCTTTTTACTCTCAAAAATATCCCATTTGGGAAAAACATTTTCATCACCCTAATACTGCTCTGTCACATTTCTGTACAATTGACCTTACTCTTCTCTTTTGCTTGACTTCTCTTTCCTCACTGTCCACCTGAAAGAAATCTGCATTGTTGCCCAATGTTCTACTTCCCCATAAAGATTTATTTCCACTAACGACTTCTGTCCCTCGTTACACTGTATATAAAACTTCATTACAGCAATTACTTCACAAAATTAAACTGTTTACATGATTGCCTTCCACTACAGCATGAGTTCCTTGAAAGCAAGTTTCATTGTCCGACATTCAATATGAACTACAGAGTAATCCATATAATTTTTGATGAATGAATAAATTTACCATATACCCTATTACATAAAATTTAATTGTTGCAGAGCTGCACTCTTAAAAGTGCTCACATTTTGAAGGACATGACAATTTAAATTCAATGATCTATTCCAACCATAAAAAGAATGTGTGGCATAATTCCCTTCCTATCTTCAAACTAAATGGTTATAGTTTGTGCCTATAAATTCTTAGGTTAGTTTTAATATCTCTATTGTGATGTGTGCTGAAACACATAACCTATCTATTTTAGCAGCCAGAATAAATTTTTACATTACAGTTAGGTGAACATGAGAAGCAGATAGCAATTAAGTGTTTTAATTTACTAATGAAATATATGAATGTCTGTTCAACTCTTTTCTTTTAAACTGAATAAATATTTTTATCTTTTTTAAGCCCAAGTAAGGGTCCATGTAGCTGGAATATTTAAGGAGAGTTAGACCAAAATGACTGAAAGTTCTTAAAAATATTCCTTAGTAGTTTTAAACTTTATAAAACTAATTACAATAGTTATCAAATATATGTGTGCATAAGTATCTTATGGATTATTTAAAATAAAGATTCCAAAGATTTGATGGAGAACACAAATCTGTATTTTTAAAAATTAGCTCACACGGGCCGGGGATTTAGCTCAGTGGTTCTGCCACCTGCCTCGTAAGCACAAGGACCTGAGTTCAATCCCTGGTACCAAAAAAAAAAAAACAAAATTATCCCACTCAATTCATTTCTGTGTAAGTTTCAAGACTTAACTGTGAGAAACACTGGAGAGTTATAGGACTCCTTAAAAGCAAAGGTATAGGATTAGGTTCACAATAAAGAATTTTTATTACCAAGTTCCCAGTTCTCCACTATAAAGATAGAGAGAGGAACAACAAATACCATTCATTGATGTACATAAGTATATATGTGTATACACCTAATCAAATATCTATATATAAAAATACTGCGTATATGTTACACCTAAGTATAAATACATCCCTCTGTACCCATGGGGAATTTGCTCAAGGATCCCCAGCACATGCCAAAATCTGTAGATTCTCAAGTCCTTTGTACAAAATTGAGTAGTATTTTCCTATAACTTATGTACATCCTCCAGGATACTTTGAATCATTTTTAGATCATTTATAATACCTAATACAATGTTAATGCTGTGAAAATAGTTGTTACACTGCATTGTCTAGGGAATGATGGCAAGAAAAAATCTGTCCATTCAGTATGAACACAATTGGTCGAATCTACAGCTGCAGATTTCATATAAATGGAGAACTGATTGTATAATTATTAAATCTTTAATACAATATGTATTATAAATACAATTTACTTGATATTATATATAACAATAGGTTGCATTACCTGAGAATTCAGTACAATAGAGACTTGAATGTAAAACCTATTGCATTAAAGAAAATAAAGAAATACAACCCTTCCTTCATAGTTGAGTATCTGAACTACAATTCCTGCACATCTCACATATGGGAAGCTGAAGAAATGCATTCTTTAAAAACTGAAGTACCTGTAGTACTTGGGGAAGCAAAAACCTCAGAGTAAGAGGGTACCCCAAAAAGATTCTTCCTTACCTTCCCATTCAGTGTGAAGCAGAAAGAGTGCTCAGGAGATCTGCTGAAGGAGGTAAGATCTACTCCTATGCACGAATAGTTTGCAGTGAGAGGCAGAGACTAAGCTAATAATGGTAGACAAAACTCATGCCATCCACATGTGATAATCAACCTAGACTTTCATAGAATAAATACACACAACTAAGAAAATGGTTATCTTAAAAGCTACCACAAAAAAGAAAGACCTGAATAAATAAAAAATAAAGAATTCTGGAAGAAACATGATCACTCCACTATGAGTGATCTTTAAATAATCTGAGATTCTCAAATATATCCATTCATAAACTAGAACAAAAATATATACTAGAGAATACTAGAATAAGTATGAACCCATGAAAATTAAGAAGAAAATTACCAAAGAGAAAATTCAATAGTTTAATTTTTTTAAATGAAAATGTTTTCCAAAATATAAAGCAATAAAACCAATGTATGAAAAATGTAAGAGAAAGATTAAGACTAGAGTATAAATCCAACAGGTTTAACATCCATCTGAGAAGTATCTTTAATGAAAAAGACTCATATGACAGGCCTAGACCTGACTCTTCAAATAAAAAGGTCCAGTAAATGTCATTCAGGACAAATAAAAAATGACCCATAAATATACACACATTAAGTTGTGTGGACCCAGTGGTTCAATATTTTGCTTCTTCCCTTTGTCTCTTTTATGTTTCATTTTCTAAATGATATCTCATGAGCTCATCACATGGAATTTCAACTATATTTAGATAACTCCCAGTTTTATAGCTCCATTTTCAACTTCTCCAAATTACCAGTATCAAACTGATATCCTTCCTGTAATCTAACAGAATTTCTAATATACGACCAAAATAGAATTTTTATCCCACTCCATATTCCAAACTGCTCTTCTTGCAGTCAACCCTATCTCAGTGAGCAGCAATGCCATTTACTCCATCACTCAGAACAGAAAACCATAAATCATATCTAACTCTTTTCTTTCTCGTGTGCATCCAATCTGTCGGCCAGACTAGCATCAAACAGGAATATGTAAGAAAAAGAATAATAATTTGTTAACACAAGGATGAAGTTGCACTTTTCTCTCTCTTAACTCACCCTCTGTATTAATTATAGCTTTCATCTAAAACAATACATTTTTAAGGGCATGAGAATGCAATTCCTTGCCTGTGGTGTAAACCTGGCTGTTCTATAGCAAATAAAACTTACAAAATGTTTTAAATGTGGGAGATTGGTTTTAAGTTTAAAATCATCAAAGCATGAAAGATATTTAGTAAATGAAATGTAAATTCTATAAACTTTGAAAATATAAAATTGATAAAAAATAGAGGTTAATTGTTAGGGGTAAATATGGAAGGAAATGCAGGGGGAAAACTCCCCACTCTTACAAAACAGGAAATCATAGTCATTTTGAAAAATTGATGGATCACAGTGGGGAGAAAGTATAAGTATCAGAGAATTAAACTCACATGCAATAGGGAGGAATCGGTAGCTGTCTTTAAATGAATACATTAACAAATAAAGTATGTGCATCTTATTTCAGATTCCAGAAAACCTAAAGTAGTTAAGTACAAATAGAAAGTATAAGCACAAATAGAAGAAAGTATAATGTGCCTAGCTTCTTATTAAACATTCTCTTGGGCGTTTGAATTTGTATTGCATCATATGTTTCTGTTATAATAATTAAATTAACAAATTTACAAACTAGTCATAAATAATAAACCAAACAATTCCATCAAATCAAGTTGTGTGTCTTGTTTTGCACAGTTATCTGAACAAGATTTTATAAAGAGAAGCCAAGTTTTGTCTCACTGTTGATCAGTAACATAAAGGACACAAATGCTGATGACCTAGAATACTGCAATGCAGTTCTTATTTTTAATCCATTACATCAGTACAGAGATTGGTTTTCTACTGTCCTGTCAAATATGTTGACACAGCATATCTATCTAATAAAAGAATTGTATGAGAAAAGAATCCCATTTAGACCAAAAGGGCTCAAACACGGATTCACTGTAATTCATCTCCTGAAAGCACTGCAGGACTCCAGGCCTCTCCAAAGAGAGATTCTGCAGTTTTCCATGGAGTAGAAACAGCCATTGTTCCAACACTACCTCTTATGCTACTGTTATGTTAATAAACATGGCGCTATTTTTACCTTGAATAATGCATGGCTTGGTGGCCTGCAATATTAAAATAGAAGTCTGTTGTGTGCTTCATCTCATTGGTGTGCCCAGTGGCCTCTATCCAGTGTCCTATCGGGAGGCAGTAAACACCATCTACCAAGTTGTTTTCATTGTAAGTACAGCAGCGGTCATGGTGAGGCCCATTGCCTAAGACAAGGAGAAATGACAAACAGATCAACTAAATCAGTATTTTGCTTAAACAACTTCAAACTGGCCGATACAAAATTAATATGATGAAAATAAACAAAGCTGCTTAATCTACACATTTCAGTATGAACAAAATAAGAGCAAGAGAACGGTAGGAATTTACAGCTACTTATGAAAATCACACAATTCTGTGCTCCTTTTGAGTATATGAGGTTAAAAAAAAAAAGCTTATTAACTGTTTCAGAATTTAGTAGCATCACTTGTTGCCCTAAGAGCCCTTTATGAATCATTTTGTACCCAGTTACCTGCTAAAAGGGGGTTGTAAAGCCATCAATGTCCCAGTATTCCATAATTCTATCAGTCTGGTATGCAAATTTAGAACTAAAATCAGTAATAAAGTTTCTTAGCACCAGCTTCAACAATGCATGTATTGATATAAATACATTAATAAAAAATAAAATAAATGTGCACACCTAATCTAATTTTCAGGTTAAAACACACTCAGAGAGATTAACTAGCCTTCTGACTACCAAGTACAGATAAAGTAGTAAACTGAGTCCCTTAGTCCCTAACCTACCAGGCAGCTCATACCTTCATGCTACACTCTGCCTACATCACATGTACAAATCATACCATCACCCTCCCTTCCTTCTTTCCTTTCCTTCCTTCCTGCCTTCTTACTCTGAAAACATAATTTGCCTTACTTTACATTTCGGCTGAGTAGCAACTATACCACTTGCAAGGGTCTGAATGTGTGTTCCCCAAACTCCTATGCTGACACCAGAATCCCCCAGGTGTTGGTACTAGGAAGTGGAGCCTTGGGAGATGACAAGGTCATAGGGTGCAGAGTGGGTCGGGGTTCTTATAAAAGGGGCCCAAGACAGACTCCTCAATCCCTTCTACCATGAGGACACAGAAGCAGGTGCCAACTACGAGTGCCCTCACCAGCCACCGAATCTGCTGGGAACTTGAGCTTGGATTTTCCTACCTCCAGGGTTATGAGAAGTAAATTTCTGTTCTTTTAAATCACTCAATCTATGATATTTTGCTATAGCAGTCCAAATAGTCTGTGACACCAGGGACCCTTGATTTCTATGAATAGTATAATTCATAATTATTTTTATTAAGCTTTCTTTAGTAAGTGACCATCTCACTTCAGACTATTCTTTATATTACCTTTATGATATTGTAAGGAAAATATATAAATAAAATAAATCTCTGCATGATTTTCAGAGATAAATGGCATTTCTTATAAATACAAAAATTTGACTCATTTGCTACTTGCTGTGTTCCAAAATATTTAACCTAAAGCTTCTTAGTAAAAAAGCTAAGAAAATCCCTCAAACTATTGGGTGATGCTCTAGTATATGACTCCCTTTTATCCCCTAGAAGGCATAGGATGATTCCTTCAATAAATCATTACTGATTTTTGTAGATCAGACTCCTCCTTTTTCTCCTGATGGCCACAGGCACTACCCTCTCCATTAGCCTTTATATAAATGAAACCTGAATTATTCAGGTAACCCCGCTTTTACAAATATATCCAAGAGAAATATTAAGAAGACTAAAGTTACATACGTACGTATATCAATACCATTTTACTAGCAAATACCGCAAAGTATGTAATTTTTTCTTCCTTAAATATTTATTGAGACAGGCATTATGCTTGGTTATGTTAAAGATTTAGGTATTTGCCATAAGAGCAATTTTAAAATTCTGAAATATTTTAAACTGGCATGTGTCATGACTAAACTTTTATTTTGAAAAAAAAAACTGTTTATAGAGTAAAAAGTTAATTCAAGAATAGGAAGGTGGAGCTAAAGAGTCTATTTAAGAAAATACCCTGTAAGCTTTCATTGAAATGGAAAGGATTAGGTGAATTCTGAAGGGAAAGGCCACAGGACTTGGCGAATAATCAGATATAAAAGCAAAGAGGAAAGGAGATCAACAATGATGCCTAATCTTCTCATAAACATAATTCAATATAGAGTGGTAGCATTTACTAAAAGACAAAATCTGAGTGGCCCAGGGATTTACCTCAGTGGTTCCACTACCTGCCTCACAAGCACAAGGACCCGAGTTCGATCCCTGGTATCCCCCCAAAAAACGGCAAAATCTGAGACTGATTGTAGCCTAAGGGTTGAATGCTATTTACATATCCAAAACATGTCAAGTACAATTGGAATCATTGGGTTGACAACCAGATCAGAGATCTGAACTACAAAACAAACAAACAAACAAAATCATCTAAGTACAAATGGTAACTGAGAGAAGGATGTAGATGTATAAAGGAGTCAAGAAGAAAAATAAGTACTAAGAAAAAAAAGTTTAGAACCAAATCTGAAATCATTTCTACATTTAACAGTTTAATAGAGAAGACTGATCTTAACAATGTTGCTTAAAAAGAGAAACTAGAGAGGAAATGTAGAGGCAGTTGAGAAGACAGAGCATGTAGAAGGTAAACCTATAGAAACAGAAAATGTACAGAAAAATGGGAGAAAATCTTCAACATTTAAAGTTAAACAGAATGCTTATACTTGACACTAAAAGCACAAGCCAGGAGAAGAAAAATTTATGAATTGGATTTTGCCAAAATTAAAAAATTTTAGGGCCAGGGATATACCTCAGTGGCACCACATCTGCCTGGCAAGTGCAAGGTCCTGAGTTCAATCCCCGATAATGAAAAAAAAAATTAAAAATTTTACTCTGTAGACGTTGCTCAGAGGAGAAAAAGAAAAGCTACTACTAGGATAAACTGTTTGCAAACCATGCATCTAACAAAGGTGTGGTATCTTAAATACATGAAGAATTCTCAAAACTCAGTATGAAGAAAACAACAAGGGAAACATAAGCACTTGAGAAGATGTTCACTATCACTTTAGGAAAATTGAAGTTAAAAATGCAGTGAGGCGGGGTGTGGTAATCCTAGTACTCAGGTGGCTGGGGCAGGAAGATCACTGTGAGTTCAAGGCCACTGGGCAAAGTGAGTTCAAGGCCAGCCTGAACTACATAGCAAGGCTCTGTCTTTAAAAAATAACAATAATAATAATAATAATAAATAAATGCAGTGAGATATCACCAAAAAAAAAAATAGTGACAAAATTGATAAGAGGCTGGAAACAAATAGGATCATTTAGACTTTGCTGATGGAAATGTAAAAATGGCCCTGGCATTCTGCAAAAATGTCTGGCAGTTTCTTTGTAAAACTAAACTTGCAAGTACCACACAACTCAATTGTACTCCTGGCACTTATCCTAGAGAAATGATCCGAATTCACATAAAAACTGTATGTGAATGTTTGCAATTATGCATAACAGACAAAAGCTAACAACAACCCAGACAGTTTTCAATTGGTGGAGATGAACAAACCATAGGACGCCCATATCATGAAGTATAATTAAGTCATAAAAAGAAAGAAGTTATTAAATGCATGCCACAATATAGATGAAACTTGAGAAAATTATGTTGAGTGAAAAAAATCCAAGCCCCCCCCCAAGTTACAAATTGTATAATTCCATTTATACAGTGTTCTTCAAATGAGACATTATAGAGATTAACAAATTAGCGTTGGGGTGCAGGGACGGAGATGAGAGTCTATGAAAGGGCAACATGGGAGATTCTTCAGATGATGAAAATGTTCTCTCTGGACTGGATCAATTAAAATGTCTAGCCGAGCACAGTGGTACAACTCTGCAGTTTTAGCACCCTGGGAGACTGAGGCAGGAGGATGGCAGTCTGTAGCCCAGACCAAGCAGTTTAGCAAATTAGTACAATTGTGTTTCGAAATATAAAGGGTTGAAGACGTAGCACTGTGAACAGGGCTTGATCCCGAACACTGGCCTGGCTGTACATCACCAATGGAGAAAACCAGGTAAGAGAAACATAGCGTCTTTTCCTATTATTTTTATAACCATATGTGAATATTCAATTAGAATTTAGTTTAAAAATAATTTTGGGGGTTTTCCCCGCCCAAATAGACTGGTTACGTTTCCAGTTTACTTTCTGGTCCAGAAGATTGGCGTAAGAGGACATTCTATATCACACTGTTTACCACAGAAATGTGTTTGCTCCATCTCACTTCCCTGTAAGAGGGTCACTGGTGTCTACTGTGACCGTGTTTGAAGGAGCACAATCTTGGCAGAGGTTGGAAGGGCACAGAGTTGCCTGTCCTGGTTGGACACCGCCATTGTCAGCTATTGGCATTCATTTAACATAAATGAGCACACAACAAATATTTGGGATAAGTCAGTCTGAGTTATTGGGGAAAACGTATAAAAGATTTGGTTTAATTAATAAGAAAGCCTATTTCCTCAGAGCAGACTTGGCCCTTGTGTTGTTTACTCATCAGCAAATTACATGTGTTAAAAGAAAGCAGGTAGATACAAAGCACAGAAAGGCCGACTTTCTGGCTCTCCAATTAAAGCCCCAAAGCTTAAAAACACAGAACTATCTCATTATTTTAAATAGTTCTAGAAAAAAATAGCTCTGTAAGTTCAAAGGTTCAGGTTAAATATGCTTATTTTTTACAAAGTCATGCATTTTGAAATTATATTTGACAAGGAATATCTATTGGCTAAGTGTTGTCTCCTTACACAAAATAAAGTATTATTCCTGCTATTTTATTTTAACATAGCCACTTTGAAGATTAACTACAGTTTTGATTTCTACAGTTCATATTTCATAGGAGCACAAATTCTAGCCCAACATATCAATCTCTAATTTTGGCTATTAGTTCACCCAAATCTTCTCTCTCTCATGGTGCCCCCCATCTATTGCTACCTCAGAATCTTCTATGCATAAAGCTGCACAAAAAAGGGACAGTTACTACAATCACTTCAGCCTTCTGATATTTGGTTCAAATAACAGAAAAGAAACCTTGTTTACCACCTGCCTGTTTGAAAGAGTGGGTTATGCTTCAGTTGAGCACTTTGATAAAACACAAACTTGAAGGCGAAAAAGCTGAGCTTGTTTGTAGCAATGGACATGACACAGGTGA